TCTTAATTTAATGAAAAGAAAGATTTGTTCTAATAATGTTTGTAAACAGAATATCATGTCAGCATCTTGTACAATGAATAACCACTAGGACAACAATACGCAATGTATTAATTATTGAAACTGTTCTTCTAATCGGATTTGAAATTGTCTCATTGCTATTTGTTTCTCAATAAAATTATGGAAAAAAAAGAAAGGATTGGGGAAGTAACACCAGAATTGAGCTTTTAATTTTAGTTTTGCTTTGTGTGTCCTCTAGGTTTTTTTTTTTTTCAGAACTGGGGATTGAATTCAGGCTCTTGCACTTGCCAGGCAACCACTTATTCTACTGAACCATCTCTCCGGCCCTAGGTTTTTATTTAGACTCATCACTGGGCTCCAGTTCTCATAGACATTTGTAGACTCTTTCTATGCCCAGCGCTATGTTAATTACTAGGAATAAGCAGGTAGAAATGCAACTTCTGCCTTTCAGGAACTTATTATCTAATTGAAGAGGCAGAGAAAAAAACCTCTAAAATTGCAGTTTACTATGGTAAGGTATTAGAACAACCATTAATGATTATGGATTTCATTTCATGAGCTGGCCTGGAAACAGTACAAGATTTGGTCAATTTGTCAGGAATAATCAGAAAGTACATTGACAATATTTACAATCCCCTCTACCTTCTGAGGACACATACTTTCCAAAAGGTGTGTTTTTAGAGTGGCAAATGTCCTTCACATTAAGAAACGAAGGGGCTCTGTCCTCGGTGCTGAAATCCATTTCTCAGCAGAAGAGTCGATCTAGTAGAATCCTAGTTCCTAACATTGGTATGAGGGTGGAAGATGAAGACATTTTTCAAGAGATTGGGCTAGAAGAAGGATGGGCAGTTGCCACTTTGACAAGCAGAGATGGAAATGTTGGTGAGCAGTCAGCACAGAGACAGAGCATAGGTCTTCATGGTTTAATTCCTCTTATGATTCATCGGCTCCAGGCAAGGCGTTGCGTACTAGTGTGGGGGTAGCACACTGAGTGGAGATGCTCTCTACCCCCGTGTCCTGATGTAGCAAATGCCATGGTTACGTGTAGGCAGCTGGGGGTGGGTGTCTGGAAACCTGCAGTACAACAGCTGCTCTTGGTCCCTTTTCCCCAGCAGCTTCAGTCAGGGTTGTGGCCACAATCATCTTTTTAAATGCACAGTTCCAGGGACATACTTTCAAAAATGTTCTTTAAGCCTGGCATGCCTTCCACTCCCTAGCTACATGATGTCAAGATTTTTCTGTCCCAAAGTGTTCATATCTATCTCTTTTCCTAAGAAAGCATGAAGGCCGCAAAGTGTAGTAAAAAGCCATACATACCTGCAACTCAGTTCCAGACAGATTTAGAGACCAAGCTTATTTATTTGCTATCTATAAGATTTGGGGGAAATTATATAAGCAATTGTTTATTAATATAGTATGTAAAATGGGGCAAGAAGTTAAACTTGAATAATTCTAGTAAAGATTTATTGGCAAACAGTAGGTATCCCATCAATCACAGTTAATACATTTAAATAGCACTGTTTCCTGTAACTCTTCATTTTAGGGGTGGGTGGGTAGAGAAGCAGAAGGCATTACACTTTGCAGGAGTCATGTGATCTTTTGGACAGAGCAAAACATTTATTTCTCTTTTATTCTTGCTGATAAAGCAGCTGTCTGGCAGGTATATGATGGAGTCAGACATTGAGCCTTCAAGAATTTTGAAGGTGTTCTCTATTCAAGGTAGCCTACGAAAGGGTTTTCATTCTTCCCAAGTTTCCTTTGCTTTTTTAGAACTTGGAGGCACACAGTTGAATTTACTACACCTACTTCTATTCTGTGCCTCACTATCATCACTGGATTGTGTAAACCCACTCCTTTTTTATTTTAAAGAGGAAAAACAAAAACTAGAACAAATAACAAGAAGAAGGACAGAAACAAAGCAATGTAAGACAGTATAAATGGTATAGAATTTCTGAACAAATATGGAATATTAACAATGGTTATTATATTACATATTGTTATCATCAAATTTGTTGCTCAGATTACCAGATATAGATATGCAAAATTGATCAAATAATTAAACTTTCACTCTTTCTTTCAATAAACCTTAATTTTTCCCTTGTCCTTTTTACTTTTTATTTTGTAATTTATTTTAAAGAGAGTATAACAATAAGAAATAACACATTAAAGATGATATTTATTTATGTATTTTGTTTTTAGGGAAGGGTCTATAGGGTGTTCAGGGTCACTCTAATAGATCAGACTCATAGTGCTCCGCCTGCTTACAGCCTCCCAAGAACTGGGATTACAAGCACACACCACAGCACCCAGTCTCAATTGCCATCTCAGAGTGTCCCGGGGATGGGGCCTGCGCGGCAGGCCCAGGGATCAAACCCCTGGCCCCTGTTCCTGCTTGCAGGTGCTTTAATCCATTGAGCTATTTGGCTGGCCCAAAGATGGTACATATTTAAAAGAACAGAATGAAAGGTATGCAACTGCTGTTGTTGTGTTGCACATTGTTGTCTTCGATGTAGTTTCTTAGACTGAAGATGTCAGCATATAGTTTGTGAAAGTACAAATTTGAAACATTAACTGATATTTTCAAAACACTGTTCATACGGTATTTGATTATTTTCTCCTTTCTTCCAGTGCAAACTGGTTCTCCTTCATCACTCAAAGGCACCTATTCTCCCTTATTACATTGGCATATTTGTGTTTCACCTGTTTACTTATACACTTACATGTCAGCAACAATACGTAATATTATTGTGCATGTTTCAAATGTCAGAAATGATACTTTGTCAGAATTCTCACTTTGTTTCCTATTTTAAAGCTCAGAATTATTTTTATTGCAATGTGTTCATCCTATCATATATCTACATAGACTTCTGTCTTAGACATACCCTGTATTTTACTTATGAAATACCATGGTGGTCACTTTTTTACTGTTTCAAACTTCACTAAATGATTACTCATTTCCACAGTTTTATATCCTTATGCAAAATTTCTCTATCTGATTTCTATATCCAATGTAGGTCTAGAGTTTTGGGTATAAGCATTCTCTGTAGGTTTGATTGCTTCTAAACTGGCTTGTTATAGGAAGGGGCTGCAAGGGAAAAAATGCAGAACACATAACTTATAGGATTATTTTATAATGTTTATACCTAAAGGCAAATACAGAAGAGTACAAGTGATGTGTCCATACACTAGAGGCCCAAAGAATCCCCTGAGGGCCTGGATCCCACAGCAGTGTCACACACAAGTCCAGCTGAAGACCTAGAGCCCCTGGCAGTGTCCTTCTTGAGTACAGATGAAGACCTAGAGCCCATGACAATGTCTCATGCAGGTCTGTATCAGGGATCTGTGCTGGCAAGGCTCTAAGGCCAGTGGTGGAAGCCAGAAAGTCTGTGCCAGCAGACTCATGGATCTGCACTGGAGCTCGGAAGAGATGCTTATAAAAGGAGCAGAGTTCCTCTGGAAAGAGCCACAGCCATCTTCAGTGACAGTGAGGATCCAAGCTCCTCTAATGATGAGAACAGCTGAGTTCATATCAGGAAAGCCAGGGTGACAAGCTTCTGCAGGTGAACCACCAGCACACCATCTTCTCTGCCAGCTCTCCTTCAGGTTGCTGTTGACAACAATCCTCAGGCAGGTAGGTCTTCCACACACAGAACCAGGCTGATTCAGTTCAGTTGGTTGTTACAAGTTGACCGTTAGTTAATCCACCAACAAGGCTGAGAGTCTCTGGTACATATTGATTTCTCTCAGTATTATTTTCTAGATAGTACTTGTACACTACTGACCTGGCTTGTCACTTTGGTTATCTCCCAAATGAGAGGTGGTGGTTACTCAAATCATTGCAGGGATGATAACTCCGGTGGGAGATGGCCAGATACTTGGTGTTTTTGAAAGTTCTTTTTATTACTTGTCAACACAGCCTTCTTAATTAGGTGCAGAAAAGTATGCACATACTCTGGACATCATGCACAAGCAATGAAAGTTGGTTTTTTTGGCCTAGAAGTGCATCACTTTTATCACAAATGATCTTTATGTGGAAGAAAGGCAGTTTTGTGCAGGTTTTCTTGACACCAAGGGTAAAGGCAGTGACAGATGGCCTCTTTACACTGTCATATAAAGCTGCTCCAACAGCATCTGGCCTGTTGGCAAAGGCAGCAGGGGAAATGTGCACCTGTGCATGCAGGCTCTTCCACAGGGAAATTAAGTTCTCTTCGCATACAGAAAACTTTTTAAAAATCATAAATAAATGTTGAGCTTTATTAAATATCTTTTTTTCCATCTGCAGAGAAAATTGTGTGAGTTTTCATGTCATGCTATAATGTGATACAAAATATAGAATTTTAATATTTACTGTGTCCCTGTTTAAATCCTATTTAGACAGGATGATAGTATGTACAAGGTGTGATAAAAATAGAGTGAATATTTAAGTTTTAAAAATTTATTACTGTGAAAGACACATTGCTATTTGTCTCCTTCAAAAAAATTTCTTTCTTGCTTGCAACATAGTTGACCCATCATATGTCATACTTTCTAAAGCATTTCTGGAGTCCTTTTCAATGAATGTCTTTAGTTGTGCTGTCATAGCACCCTTCAAAGCAAAGAAAGAGGAAAGAAAGAAGAAAGAAAGAAGAAAGAAAGAAGAAAGAAAGAAAGAAAGAAAGAAAGAAAGAAAGAAAGAAAGAAAAAAGAAAGAATCAAGTGAGCTCCTCCCTCAAGGTCTCTATCTGGAATATTTTTTCTCATGAAAGCTTCACAGCCTTCTCTCTCACTTTTCTCCAATATATTCATATACATATTTCCATTGCTTATTATCTCTCTCTTTCCACCACAGAACAAGCTGAGTGAGAGTGAAGATTTTTCTGTTTTTTCCCTGAGGTCTTCCAACAGTGAAGCAGAACAGTGCCTGACACACTGTGGTGCTTGGCTTCTGCTGACTGACTGAATTAGTGAAGAAATGCTTTCATTTTTCTTGCTAGGATTCAGGGCTATCTCTGCAGGACAATCTGAGTAGATGGGACATGCTGGTCCGCGGTGCTGTAATATACCTTCTGAGGTTTGTTCCTTTGCTGTCCTGCCCTGAAGGGAAGAGTCATATTAGGAAATCATAGACAGCTAGAGCCACTCTATTGGCTCTTCATCATCTGGAAAAGCTTGGTTTGAGAGAAAAAAAAACTTAACTCTTCTTTTGGCTGAGAGACACAATCTTTTGGGACACTTTTGGAACAAGGGAGATTGGAAGGCAGAATTATAACTGAGTTGTTTTACTTATGTTTCCCAACTCATATTTCCTGAATTAATGCTCACTGGTTAAAGGAAACAGAGCCAGCTTTTAACTCCACCCCTGAAATTAGAAAGTTGGTCTTAATCAGGCAAATGCAAACAGGTAATGATTCAGAAATAGGTTTAACAATATGCTGAGGAGATTCAGCTCAGTGGAGTATAACGGTCCTATTTTTTTCCAATTACCACTTTGACCTCTGTTCTGATAAATCCTCCATTTCCTGTTTCTTAACTGCATATTTAGCTGATAACTTGTCACTTTTGCTAATTAAGACTCAGTTCAATTTCAGAGTCTATTAAAACTCATTCTTTCTTCTCTCTGCAGCACAGGTGCAAACGGTGACCATTCAGGTTCTAAAAACTGAGGAGACAAGATGCACACATCTGCTCTTTCCTCCTCTCAAGGATCTCATCTGGTGGGATGGAAGAGACAGGAAACAGAGATGGGGCCTGAAGCATCTTGTGTGTGGTAGGGAGCCCTCCCAGGCCAAGATTGGTTTGGACCTCTCCTGGTGACGCTGGTGGCCTCTGGTGATGGAGTGGCACTGCACAGGTGTACTCAAGGTTTCCTGGAGGATGGTGCCAAATTTTGTCTGTTACCCACCTCAACCTTGGCACATAGGCCCTCTCTAAAAGAGAAATTATGTTTTAAAGCTGGTTCATGGTGGCTCAGGCATCCTTGTGTCTTTTCCCTTGGGGTGTGTTTCACACCTTCTGAGAGCCATAGAAGTCTGGGATGAGTATATCTCAACAAATATCTTCATATATGACTTGATATATTATAATTACTTCTTGCTCTGTCAGCTTTTCTTTAGAATGTAGGTGAGAATCAAATGCTAGTCTCTGGTACTAATCAGGCAAATGCAAATGGGTAATGATTCAGAAATAAGTTTAATAATATACTGAGGAGATTCAGCTCAGTGGACTATAATGGTCTTATTTTTGAGGATTATCTTTTCAACCCTATCTACGTTAAGATGGTCTAAGATCTTTGTCACTACATTCTGCTCCTCACTAGGAGGCAGGCTCCACCCCTACCAGTAATTCTCTTGAAACTTTCTTTCCATCACTTGGTCCTAGGTGATATGTTAGTTGTAGATAGATGCTGATCAAAATTTGTGCTTCTTCTTCCACACAGAGACATGTCTTGGGAATAGCTTCTGACCCAGGGAGCACAATTTTCAGCCCCCGTTACCTGACAGTGTGCTCACTTCACTGGGTTTCACTAGAAGACCGTGAGAAGAAACATGGGACACTTTCAGTTCACAGCATTTAAGCCATCCACGTGCCGCTTCAAGGCATGTCTTCTTCTAATGGTTGGTTGCAGATGATGAGGTACACCTAGAAAATGATAGAAAAGCCTGTATGGTAGAAAAAAACAACAACAATAAAATTCCTGGGTCACAGAGAAAAGCTTCTAGCTAAACAAGAACATCCATCTCCTTTCTTTTTGTTTGTTTTTGGTGGAACCGGGGTTTGAACTCAGGGCCTTGCACTTGCCAGGGAAGAACTTATTCCACCAAGCCATTTCCCTGGCCCCCAAGAACATCTCCTTTGAATTGTTATGCAAGAAATAAACTACCATGTTGGAGCTACTACAGAGTTTGGGTCCACTGAATACAGCAGCTGACTTGCACATGAGAGGGCTCACAGGGGAGAAAAGGTGAAAGTCCTGGCAGGGGGAAAATTGTGGCTTTGTTCCATTTACATAAGAAGACTAGAAGGTAAGAAATCCAGCCTTAGAGTCAACAGCTGGCCTCTGGCTTCTAGAAGATGGGGACCAATGTGGCAGCAAGTCAGGCTTTCAAGGTCACTAAGGCTGCTCAAGAACCAAGACAAGGACTCAGGCACCGGAATCTCTGGGAACCGCAGGAAAAGGTCACATGAAACTATTTTCAGGGTTGTCATGATACTGATTCATGCAAGTGTCTGTCCTGGGGTTGTGCAGTCTCCAGTAAGAGAGGGATAGCTCCAGAGCCTGGCCTAGGAGTGAAGTCTAAGGAAAGCTTATGTGTACAGAACAGAAACTTTCAAGGGCCAGTGGTGTAGGGAGGCAGGTAGTCAAATAGAGCAACACCTTCTTGTGTTTGAAATTTCTAGTAATTAAAAATTTAGGTTAAAGCAATATGTAAAGGCATTATTAAAGCGCAAGGATTTCCCCAGAGAGGTAATTAACACTGGCTCATCTGCATACTAGATTATCAAAATGGCTAGTTCCAAAGGAATGAGAATTTCTTTGATAAGTCTAGAATTTAAAGGGTAAGAGGGAAGTGACTGATATATTAGTTTCTGCTATATTTTCAGTTTTTAATCCATATTTTATTTAATCATCCTATTACATCTTTAAGTCCACATTATTATTCTCATAGTAATTTGCTAAAGCACAGAGTTGGTGTTTGTAGCAAACTGTGTTATTACTCAATATATTATCATTTAATTTTCTGTTCACTCTACTGTGTTGACGTTGGAGTGTTAGTTAATAAAATATGATTAGGGTGCTGTGAGTGAAAATCTTAAACCCAGCACACGACTCCCCTCTCTTCTCTTCTCCCCAAGATCAGTTGCCTGGCTTGAGACTGCAGCTTTTGGATGAGTCCCAAGACAAAGACCTCATGGGACAGAGCTGCAGCCGACCTACAATCAACATGTAGCCTGAGTGAGAAATAAACTTGGGGCC